TCCTAGAAATATATATTTCTAAAGGTGAAGTTACCAGAACTGGCCACTAGAAGGAGCCAGAGACCATGCTATGTACAGTGTAATATTCTCTATTAAATACTGTGTGCTAGAATCCACATTTTTCAACATCCATGGGAGGAGGGACGGTTGGAACTGTAATGAAACAGAGGTAAGAGGTTAACGTAAGGGCTTATCCAGACCGTGATCTGCCACTGGTTTAGTTCTGCAACAACACATGCATTTTACGGGCCAAAAAATCTCATCGCGCACCAATGTCTGACCCGACACCAGGTTCAGCACCTTTCCAGAGTGCCTGCCAAGTTCGCACGGGAAGCCGGAGCAGATTTTTCTGCCACCCACTTAGTGGGAAGTTGGCTCCCCACCCACCCCCTGGAAGGAAGAGAAAAAGCAGAAAGGCTTCTCTACCCCATATTTACACTGGCAAGATTTAACTCCGTAGTGAAAATGGCACTGCTCATCCGCATCGTAGGCCTGCCCCGCCGCCACCGTTGGGTAGACAAAATCTTGCTTGGGGGGAGCATTGTTCAAACACAGTCCCATCCCGGAACTTGAAGGCAGAAGATAGGGAGGGGAAAATAACGGATGGCAGTGGTTCAAGTGACCCATGGGAAAGAGTTTGGGCTGTGAGTCGTGGATGGCAAGAAGGGCGGGCAGCCTTAGAACATTTGGGAAATCAAGTTCCTAGTCCTTACTAAGCCATGGATCTCCATGGATGACCATTGGCCAAAGTTTGGAAGACTACTTCTGGAAAGGAAGTAGTTATAGTTACAGGATCACAAAAGTTTTTAGTTACAGTTACTATTCTACAAAGTAACTAACCTTGTTACTTATAGTTACTTTTTTAAAAATACAGAATGTTCCAAGAGAGTCTCCTGTTGGCTCAACTACACCAAACTAGGGAAGTCCACATAGACCATGAGTCCATCATAGAAACTCAGACTAATTTCAGTTACGTGCCAGATTTATCTTTTGATCCCAGTGAAACATTCTTACGGCCAATTACAAATCACTTCTTATCAATAATAATGAGTTGCTCCCCAAATCTGGATTTCTTTCAGTTTCCCCTGACTCAAGAGGGTCATTGTGTGCTGGTATATACATTGAAAATTGAAATAAACAAACAAACAAACAAACAAACAAACAAACAAACAAACAAACAAATAAATAAATAAATAAATAAATAAATAAATATGGGAGGACCCCCTTATCTGCAGGACTGGTATCTGCTGATTCACACATCCACAGTCTGTAAACATTAAAAATATTAAAATGAATGATGAAATTACCAGAATTGGCCACTAAAGGGAGCCAGAGACTGTGCTATGAATACTTGTTAGTGGAGAATACACAGCATGGTCTCTAGTGGCCAGTTCTGGTAATGCATGTGAAAATAGTTTTTCTGGTTTCCCCCCCTATTACCATGCTATCTATCTATCTATCTATCTATCTATCTATCTATCTATCTATCTATCTATCTATCTATCTATCTATCTATCTATCTATCTATCTATCTATCTATCTATCTATCTATCTATCTATC